AATCTTAAATTTGGTAAACTCTTTTTTCGGATTAGATAGCTAACTAATAAAGATTATTTTCATTTAATTGTGTAGATCAGACACAAAGAAAATTCACTACTTGATTAATCCGGAATCTGGTCATCAACTCATCATGGTTGGTTTTAGTGTTAAACTCCTGATACAATAACCCTGTTAAACTAAGAAAAAATATGTTTCTTTATTTTATTTTTTGCTGTTGGTGATTTTCTCTATATCTTAACGTTTTCATTTGGTTAAATTTGAATTTATGATATTTAAAAAATTCTTATTATTATTAAACATCGTAGTTTTCTAAAAGAAATATGGTATTAAAAATTATTTTATATCTTCAAACTATATATTATAAAAATTTATCAATTAATTGACACACAATCAATCTAGATTTGTTAACTCACTGACTAGTAGGTATTTAGGTTTGTTATCCGAAATTCCGAATCTGGTTTAAGTATATTGAAAAAAAAGACAAATTATTTGATGTACGAAAAAACGGTGGACGCACAATTCGAACTTTTATATAACTCAAATTTCTATGTGCTTATTCATTGGTTATACAAAATGAGACTGTAGTGTAAATTACACACATTTATATGTTACATATATTTTTGTGTGTCACTATTGAAAAGTTTTATTGTACTCAAGTGCTTACCTCATCTCGTACAGAGCTTGTCCCTAGTTCTGCTATGGCATCTTACCGTGTCGGAAATATTACAATTGTTTCTTATGAACAAGAAACAATACAAACACATATATAGAGCATAATTAAAATTATACATATAGCCCTCTACTAAAAAAACTATTTAATTACTTTAATATCATATGCTACATCACTTAGGATGCACTTTAAATCTACTTTAAATACTATATATTACAACTTATAGGAAATTCAGGAACTCAGAAAATACGCATATATAAACCTAGCATTACAATGCATATATACATAGATGTAGAAATATATAAATGATAATGAAAATACGAAATATGGGTTGCCAGGGGAAGTAACCAAGAGAGAGATAGTATAGATTGCAATGTCTGTCCCTATCTAGAAAATCTAAGAGGTGTGGACAAATTGCTAGACTTATGAACATTAAAGACTATGCATGTGATTTTTTTCATAATTATTTTTACATGAATTAAGAAAGGCTATTTTTTTAACGAAATCGAGTCTCCACATTTCTAATTAGAAATTCATATTTTTGTTGCTTTCTAAATACCAATTGCTGTAACATAATCAATAATTAATCATCTCCCTTCAAAAGTCATAAGAAGTAGAACCAATTTATGTATAAATAATTATAGAACTTAGTTAATCGAAAATAAGAGGAGAGAGGTAGAAAGAATGGTCAAAGACAAGAGCATAATGGTCTGCCCAAAAACACTTTCTTGGTGTCAGCCTCAGAGCTGAATTGAAAGCACTGAAAGCTCCTTTTAGTCATCATGTCTTTTTCCCCCAATCTATTTTCATTTTTTCTTCTTATTATTCTTACAATTCTACAATTTTAATTCATTATTTCTATCCGTATGGAGAGAGATGTATGATAAATTAAATGAAGCATCTATTATTATTTCTACTTCTAGTCGAAAACTAGCTACGTGGGCACAAAATCTTCGTACCAAAATGATAAAAGTTTTGCAAAGTACACTGTTTTTCTTCTTCTTTTTTTATTTGGCTTCAATACATGGCTACGAACATTATATGCTTCATCGATAACTAGCCATAATTTTATAACGGGATCTATTGGACAAATGATATTTATAATAATGTTTTAAAGCTAGCTTATTTGTTAAGGTGAATTAATATTTATAATAAATAAAAGTTTGCATGGACAGAGTACTATAAAAAAATTATCGTCAAGTCTTTGTTAGCTTCTTTTAAAAACTTATTTGCAGCTATAGTTATGAATTTTTATTTAGGTAATAACCCTCTAGTTGGTGAAGGTGAAATTAAAATACATTTTTATGCTAAAGTAAAATTAATATATTACGTCCATAATTATTAACATTTTTAATCTGCTTAAAACAAATAATATGTTATTTGATCTGATAACACATTAATTTATTTCATATCATTTTTTTTTGTTCTAAACATATAACATGCTACTTTATATGATGATTCATGCCATACAAAATCAAAATCAAAATTAAAACAGAAATAAGGCCATGCCTATTTTGAGTAAGAGGGATAGAAGTTTGCATTTAGTGAATATTTGGTTTGAATAAAGACATAAAAGAGTTATTGGGTTTGACTGGTTTGTCAAACAAAAAAAAGAATACTAGAACCGTACTATTCACTAAAAAAACATTTTATTTAATAGAACCTCTACATAATAGTCATTAACACTATTTGACCCCAAAAGATTCATAAAATACGAATTTTTTTTTTATTAATCAACGATATCTTGTTTTGTTTTTCTCGTTATATGTTTTTTTTTATTAATCAACGATATTTTGTTTTGTTTTTCTCGTTATATGACACATCCATAATATATAACACAATCACTTTTAAGAGCTCAAAATTTTGATGAAGATTATATACAAAAAACAAATTAATAGCGACAAACATGTTTTTTGGGGTTAAAAATAGCGAAAACATGTTGAAACCTGAAAAAAAATAGTATTACACTGTTAGTTTTCCCATCAACTTTTATTGCGGCGAAGCTCAACTTAAAGTTAAAATTCACATCACTGAGACCTATTGGGAGAAACCGATGTGTTGCAGATGATACAATAGTAAAAATCAATTTGTAGCATTGACCAAGAGAAGAGTAATCATTGGACTATAGTTATATATATAATTATTATATTCTTAAGTAGCTGTAAGAATAAATGTTATATAAACTTCGAATATGTGTCTCAATATCATTGTCCAAGAACGAATCATTTAATTCGTCAAAACCCTCTCATAAGATGGATCCATGTGTGAATTTAAAGTTCTAGCTCTACCGCAAACTGTGGGGACCTTCAAATGTAATATTCACAAACGCAACATCTCCATATGTAGCGAGATGTCTTATTAGATTCCTAAATGTGCAATGATTTCGATTTTGATCTGACTTAAAAATATCATGGATTGTTCAGATTTTGTTGGTATGTCGTTGATTAAATCCTTAGCATCATGAATGAGATTTTGATTCATAAGACCATTGCATGTGCATAAATCCATACACCCATCACCCATGTATATTTTGAGATTTTTTGTGCAAGTGAAAGTTTTCGGAAAAAAATGATACATTGCATCTATTTAAATTAGAATATGGCTCGATGAATGAACAATGAAGTCTTGTGCATGTAACGACATTTTTCCTCACTTTTCCTGGCTTAGTTAAGCGTACACACGTACACTAATAATTTGTTGAGGGTTTTTAAAAAGCATGCTCAAATTGTTTCTCTACAGTATGGTTTCTTCCTTACATACATTGTATATGTGGGATATACACGTGTATATGCATTAATAATAATAATAATAATAATAATAATAATAATAATAATAATAATAATAATAATAATAGTTTTTTTTATAACTAATAAATTTATATGTTATGTATTGAAAAATATAAGTAGACTGGAATTTGAATTTTTCTTTGTAAGAATAAAGAAAGGGGAGGTGAGAGAGAAATTAAAACACATGTACAAAAGAATTAAAGAAAGAGGTACAGTTTTCGTTAACTGACCACTGAACTGAAATTAAATGAATGTGTTGGTAAAAGGAAACCCCAAACTTCATTTCATAGGATTTGAAATTAAATCAATTTGACAGTTTTTGTCAGAAAAAAATACACTTATTAAAAAGTATACATTAGTTTACATATGATTTTCAGGTAAATAGACAGTTTCTCATATTGCGTAAAACCCAGTAATGATGAATAACATGAATACGGCATGTCATCTCTACAGTATAGTCAGAATTAATGGCTGACATATTGATATACTTTACGAAAATTGGTATTTGTTGGAATCCCACATCGAAAGTTTAAAGGGATCAACACTAGTATATATAAAATTTGGACTAATCCACTCATTATCAATTGGTTTTAAGTTAGAAACTTATGTAACTTAATATAGTATCAGAACCTCGTTTGTTAACCCAAGTAGGATGACTAAAAAAAGGGTTTATTACTAATCCTAAAGTGGGATTCAGTTCGAGATGGGTTACTGATGGGATGATAAGAATCATCATCTCGAGGGAGCGTGTTGGAATGTCATATCAGAAGTTTAAAGGGATCAACATTAATATATATAAAACTTGGACCAATCCACTCATTGCCAATTGCTTTTGAGTTAGAAGTCAATGTAACGTAACAGTATTTTTGATATACGATCTGGTCCGGACTAACAATAGCTAGATTTTTATCTTCTTCTTTTTTTCACATTAGCTAGATTTTATCTACATTCAATTTTAAAAGATCATGTCTAGCTGAAAATATTTTGAGCTTTACATTGTTAATCGATGTGACGACCCAAAAATCTGGTCTAGTTTGATTTTAGATAGGATACAGTATATTTATAACGATAACGTCTTATCATATGTTCTACGCACATTGTACAAGTTATTCTATTGATTTCTTTTGTAAATACATGCACAATATAAATATGAAAACTGAAATATAAAAATACTAGTTCCACGAATAAATAAAAAAATCAAATGACATTGTTCTTAATTGAATTAATCTAATTTTGAACTCCCTAGACAAATAGCTCAACGTCTACAACCACATCCCCTATAGGAGAAGATACATAAGAAACATAGAATCACTTTATGAAAGAAAAAAATCTGCTAAAAAGTGTCATGTCATCGCATATATAGATATATAATCAATTTTTGAGGATTTTTGTATACAACGAATATTTAATTACTAGGTTAATTATTTACACTTGTATATCGGTAGAGAGCCAGTCATTTGGAAGTAATAACATTTCACATAAGGCAAGGGAGGTCACTAGCAGTTTGATAATTATTTGATTTTTTTTCTTGCTTGAAAAAGATTAGTAAGAAAAATAAACAAGAACATAGTAACGTCTGGTAAATGGCTAAACACAAGGAAAAGCCAAAGCGGTAAAGAATTTAATATAATAAAATAAAAAGAAAAGAAAAGAAAAAAAAGATGCTTTGGGGGATGGATCTATAAGCTTGTTATATAAAGGAGGATAGATAGTGAGGGTTTTCTACCTTCTTCTATCTAAAGAAAGTCTTTACACAGCAAACAAAAAAAGAGAAAAGAACCCCAAAAATAAATAAATCAAACCTTTGAAAATTTATAATAAATGGAAGAACATCTAAATCCATTAGCAGTGACTCATCTTCTTCAACACACACTAAGAAGCTTATGCATCCACGAGAATTCTCAATGGGTTTATGCTGTTTTTTGGAGGATCTTGCCCAGAAATTATCCTCCTCCAAAGTAAGCTTATGGTCAAAATCAACCGTATACATCATATAACAAGTATATATCTCCAGTTTTTGTTTACTAATAGATTTCGACTTTCTTGTTATTCTTTTCCTTATTTGTTCTTCCGTAGTCTCTTAAGTATTTATTCTTTGATTATTTGGGGGGCTTATGTTATAAGTATCTATGTAGCTGGTTTTCTTTAAGAATAAAAATATATGTATAAATGATTAATAAGTACTGATCGTTTGGTGTTTCTTGCAAGTAGATGGGATGGTCAAGGAGCTTATGATAGATCAAGGGGAAACAGGAGAAACTGGTACTAGCAAAACAACCTTTATGTATATATTACAATTTTTATATGTATATATAGAAATTTTTAAATGTCATCTGATTGTATATCAACTATTACTGGCAGGATCTTGGTTTGGGAAGATGGGTTTTGCAACTTCGCAGCTTCTGCCGGGGAAATGAGCTCCGGAGAGTGTAGCGGTGGCAGTTCGGCGGCTTACGGAAATAGTGACTTTCAACAATACCAAGGGCTACAGCCTGAGTTGTTCTTTAAGATGTCCCATGAAATCTACAATTATGGAGAAGGGTATGTGAGGATAATATACATATTTATATCTCAACAAAACTTTAAGATTATTAAGAAGTCTACTTTTTATTTCATATAGTACTTTCTCTCTTTTGGGTTTCACTTTTTTTCCCTAACCGGGGTTTTGGACCGAAATTCATACTATTTTAGTACCTACTCACATTTTATATCCATATGTATGTATATGTAAATAACTTGGTTTTAGAAAGTTATGAGTCAAACTACCTCTTTTTTAATTCAAAGTTTCATAACTGTTATGTAAAAAGTCTTAGAGGATAATTTGCAAAGTGTTTGGGACAATGAGCTGATAAGAGAGGAATATTTAATCATTTTATAGGCAAATAGATGAGTATTTTAGTTAACCATTGTCAACTAAATAAAGTATTATTATAATAGTTGTTAATTAATTAAATCATTCTCTCTAATGATTGAAGTATCATTAAATTTTGTGCAGGTTGATAGGAAAAGTAGCTGCAGATCACAGTCACAAGTGGATTTACAAAGAACCTAATGACCAAGAGATTAACTTCTTATCTGCTTGGCACAATTCTGCTGACTCAGTAAGCATATACACGCCTTTACATACACCTTTTCTATTTTAAATATGGCTTTTACATGTATACATATGCATGCTTATCGTTTTAGAAGGAAAAAATAGTATCCATACATGTGGAATATACACACATAGATTATTATATATATATAAGAATTATATTAACCACGCACTAATTAATTAAAATTATGTAATACTAATTAAAATTTATGTAATTTTGCAGTACCCTAGGACATGGGAAGCTCAGTTTCAATCTGGCGTCAAGGTATGATTTTCGAACTTCTTTTTTTTGTTACATCAACATATATAAGTACATACTTCCATATATATAATCATACATTTAACTATTCGATTATATATATTATTACTTGTAAATGTTTTTCAGACCATTGCATTGATTTCTGTTCGAGAAGGTGTTGTCCAGTTAGGAGCTGTTCACAAGGTTCCTCTCTCTCTCTCTCTCTATACATTATACACTATAATATATATCATAGGATGATATATTTACATATTTTAAAATGTGATATTAAAGGTGGTAGAGGATTTAAGCTATGTTGTGATGCTAAGAAAAAAGCTGAGCTATATAGAAAGCATCCCAGGAGTACTTCTTCCACACCCTTCTTCTTCTGGTTACCCTTTCATCAACGCTTCTCCTTCTGACACGTGGCAATTCCCCGGAGTAGCTCCTCCTCCTTCGCAGCCTGAGCACCACCAGCAACACTTCTACCAATCTGATCACAACCACCGCTTCTTGATGGGACATCACCACCAGCCGCAAGCGGTAGGAGCACCTGTACCGCCTCTACCGCTTTCGATGAAGATAACGCCGTCGATGAGTAGCCTCGAGGCGCTTCTCTCGAAGCTTCCGTCGGTTGTACCTCCGGCGACGCAGCCAGGATACTTCCCGTTTCACCACGGTGCTAAAGAAGAAATGAGTCAGGGAGATGAAAGCGATGCGTTTAGGGTTGAACGTAATCATTTGGTTGGTGAGGGTAGTAATAATAACAACAACAACAATAATTACAATAGTAATGATATTTATAACTATAACAATAATTGCAGCAATAATAATTACGATAGAGAGAATAAGATCGGTGGGTTTCTAAGTGAGGATTATTGAGTCGCTCTAATAAAATCTCTCTTTTTCGTACAATAAGTATAAATTGTACTAAGAATTTTTCCTAGTCTGACATTTTCAATTCTTAGATTTTATTTTTTCTCTTAGTTGGAAATAAATAAATATTATTTCTGATAATCTTTGTAATGTAGCGATAGTCTGACATAGTAAGTTGTTTTAACGGTACTTGTGTAAAATTTTGCAGATTCCATGTCTTTGAACAAAATACTACGTAAAATTTTTAAATGAAAAAATAAATATGCAAAATAGCTATGGAAGGAGATATTTATTTTTCGCAGTGGTATTTATATAATGTTCTGCTTCTTTAGACTTCTTTTGGTGAAGAAATCAGGTAACCTTTTTTATAGTTACCACCAAAAGTTGGGGGAAATGGCACTAATCGCAGTGCCAGTTAGATTTGAAGTGAGCAAATATTTAGAAAAACATTTTTTTTTTGTTTTGTTAAAGAATATTTAGAAAAACATATATAGTCTGAATCAAACTCTTAAGAAAAAACTCTAGAACGCTTAATTATTATAAGTTCATAACTACACACTACACTTTTACATCTAAACTACATTTCAGAGTTAACTTTTAGATTTTAGATAATCGTCGACAAAAAAATAGCTAATCATATATATATAATTATATATAGATATAATGCGGAAAGAAAATAGGTATCAGGGACTTCTTTGCTTTTGTTTTGTTTTGTTTAGCCACATATATATATATATATATATATATATAGCTACAATAAGGGTTGAAATTAAGACCACTTCGATTGATGGATGTGTTTAAATGCTAAGCTATAAACTAGAAAACTAAACCAACTCATGTGTCAAGTGGTGAAAGATTTACGTACCATGTGGTTGGTTTGGATTAAGGATTTTTATTAATAACACATTTGTTCATGGGCGTAATTTTCAATATTACCGACGTTTTCCCGAATGATGGTTAATTGTTTGCATCTCAACTCTAAGCATATATCAGATTTTCTCAACTACATTGTTGGAGGCGCATATATTTTTCGCTTGTTTAAAGGAATTTTCTTTTTGTCACCATTACATGGTATCAGATATGAAGTTTGGGTCTGAACAAGAAAGCTGACTTTCTTGCAAAGAATGCTAGGTTCGTAATACTATATTTTCGCTTTTAACCATTTTTATGCCCTATTGGTTAATAATGGCAACTGTTAATGTAATTCCATTGTATCAAACCAAAAAGAAATTAAAAAAAAAAACAAAGCGCCATTTGTGACTTGTGAGGGAAATAAAAAAGAACCGACCGTGATGTGATACACTTCAACTACTGTTACGCATGAGATACAGAAACACAAACTATAAAATATTATTCAGGTATGTTTAGAGAAATATCATATATGGTTATAGGAAGAATAAATCAACTAAAATTGAGTTATTAATGAGAGGTATAACAGTCAGTAAACACAAGTCGAGAGTTTCTTCCTTTTTCATCTTCACTAAATTCTCGTTAATTCAACGATTACATAGTTTTGGTATCGAAAAAACCAAAAAACTATAACAAAATAAATGTCGAAATTTCAAAAAAAAAAAATGCTTAGCAAGCCCTGGGAAAACAAAAATTCTAACTCCAACCCGATAAAAAAAAATTACTGGGACCACCAAAACTTAAATCGTTTACCATAATCTTCTTCACTAGGACCACTAAAATGACAAAATCGCTATTTAACTTTACCACGACAACATCAAATCACATGAACGTATAAACTCATACACATTATTTCATTCAAAACTCCATTCCTTAAATTGTAAATCTACAATAGAGCAAGTACAAATATTATGGGTACATATCAGATCAGATAACAGATGCTCGGAGTTTCTTAACTATCTGAATCAGTTCCATCCTTTGGTTCCCCCAACTCGACAGAATCATCAAAAAGGAAAAGACACCTCCAAAATTTATGAAATTATATAAAAAAAAATGTTTCATTATTAATAATGATATATAAAAACGGAATCTGAAGCAGCAAGGAGAATAACATTAACGACAGACATTCTCATAACTCAAACCATCATCAAAACGATCTCTCTCTCTTTCTCTCTCTCTCTCTCTGAACGGATTTCACACAAAGCCAATGAACCACACACAAACTTTCTATGAGGATGTTTATTTTAGTCTATGGGAGAAAAAGATAATATTTAAATTAGGAACATGTATATGAATCTTGGAATACCTTAATACTTCTCATAACTCACGTGGGAAATTGTTGATTTGTCCTTCCTCCAACACATCTTTGCCGTCAATCTTGTAACCTACCCTCATCCGCATCACAATGGGTTTCTGAAACAAAGAAGAGCAGAGAGTTTCACAACAGGTCGAGATTTACGCCGGATAATATATGTAAATCTGGCGAAAAGAGAGAAAATAAGAAAGGGAATGGTACCTTTCCGTGTTGGCTATTTGTAACTCTCATAGTTTGTTTGATGTTTCCGTTGGCTGGAATAGTGTTGCTGCTAGCAGGATCCAGGTGAAGTTGTAGAAACTGCAATGTGTGTGATGACATCAAATAGGAATATATTAGAACATCGTAAACAAATTTGAAAGCAGATCGTTCTCTGATCCTTGTTTTTATATCTGACCAAGCAAAGAATACATATCATAGGAACCGAACACCGACTCGAATCGTTATCGAAATCAGTTCCATGTTATGATTAAATAAGAATGAATTTTGCTAACACATGAGTTTATCTCATGGCCATCAAAGTGTGGTCCGTTTCAGCCAAGAACCAAGCCCATGACAGCTTTTTTATTTGGAAAGGTTGTGTGGTATGACTATAAAGCGCAAGGCTTATAACAAAAGCAGAAAAACAAGTTTGGGACCTGACCTTTGGAACTGCAGCCTGGAAAAGAAAATCTGTGTACACGTTAGGGGTAAGATTTGCGAAACTGGCCACAATATCTGTGCTTTGAGGGTTATCTGGTTGCTTTGTGAAGTTGAACTCAATTTTCAAGGTACTGCTCTCAAATGCAACAATGGACGGATATACTGGACCCTTGTCCTCTGTCATGGAAGAAAAGAGATGCCATCTATCACATTTGAAAATAAATAACGTGGAAGTAACTTCACAATGTTTAACATGGTATCTTTACCGCTAGTTGGTGGGGTGGGGCCAAATCCATCCAACAAATCCATCATTGAAGAAGGCGCAGGGGGAGAAGTTGATGAAATAGCATCTATGGAGGCTAATAGGTCACCATTCGTTGAGCCATTTTGCACAGAGGGAGGACTTCCTATTGACAACAGATCCAAAAGGATATCGGCCCCAGCTTTTGATGGATTCATGGTACCTGAAACTGATGGATGTAGAAGTAAACAAAGAGCCTGGAGTTTTAACAATACAATGCAGCTTTACAACTGAACATCCCAAGTTCTCTACATCTTGATTACAAAAACTTAACAGTTTTCTTCAGGTCGTAGTTATGATTGGTCATATTGCCATGTAAGTCAACAATTTGAAGAAACATGACCAGTCCCTGCCTGAGAAAAATATATATGAACTATGATATCTGACTTAGACTCCAAGAAGATACGCTATACAGATGTTTATCATCGTCCGTTGCAATACCCAGAAAACTCTTACTAGTTAAGTTCTTCAAATGGTGGAGTGGAATAAAAAAAAGTTAGGAAATCTAACCAGGTTGTGTTGAAGGCTGCATTAAATCAACACCAAGAAGATCTTGAAGATAATTGGCACTGGAGGAGGTAGGGGCAATAGAATCATCAGAACTCATGTCGAGTAAATCTACAAGAGGAGCCGCAGCTTTAGCAACACCGTTCGGAATACTAAGTGGAGATTTTCCAGAAGTTGAAACAGCTGCTGGTAAAGAACCAGCTCTCCTTCCGCTAAATGTTGCTTCATCAAGGACCGGCATTCTTTCAACCAGGGAAGATCTGCATATATTTAGATCCATTGTGTCGAGTAGTCTAGTAGATCAATATCTGTAGAACTCTACATCCAAAATTGATGAATTCAAATGTCTCAGTAGCATCGAAAGAATTACCTTATATTCTGATGCTTTTGAATAACTGAACTGAACTCCAAGGATCTTTGTTGCAGTTCTAAGACGAAGCTACCTTTATTCTGTCCTATAATACTTTTAACCCTCCTGTAAGCAAATACAACAAGCCATCACTGGTGAGAATTATCACTGGCTAATTTTACAAAGCGACCTAGTTTATAAAAGAGAAACTACAGGGACGTGAAAAATGTTCATGCATGATTATACCCTGATAACCAGAAAATCTAGAATCAGCTGTGTTGGTAAAGTAAAGCTAGGTAGGAGTTGGCATACTCTGAACAAGAAGGGAAACGAGATGAGATCTTTAACAGAGCAATGAGTGCCATTGCCTTCGTTGTGACATCCGATATATGATGCTTAATAGTAGTCTCGACAATATCCACGGCATCTGATTCTGTTACCTGATTACAGAAAATTGAGAACACAAATCAACATCTACACTCATTGAACAGTATTATATTAGCATGTAAAGATGATCATTCCAAAAGTTTCAGGCAGAAAAGTTCAGTAACGAAACTATTTGAATGAGCAGTAACAACTGTAACCATTTCTTCACTTTTTATCAACCAGACGAGCGAAGAATTAAAAAAAATTTGGGTGTGAGGATCCCCAAGCGAATCAGCACAGCAGAAAAATGTTACAATACAAAAAAAAATCAAGAAAGCAATCCCGCAACTGTCACATCCAGTATCAGTCACAATAATAAACCCTTACTGCATGATGATGGTACTCACCGTTATTGGATCTTCTAAGTCAAGCATTCCAGCATTGTTAACTAACAGATCAGCATATTCTCCTATGCACCATATTGCAACCCGCACAAGAGTTTCCTGCCCAAACATCAATGACCCTCTTAACTCCGACAGTACAAGATGATCAAATTTGGGAAATGTTTGACCAAAAGAAAAATGTCATCTACCTGTTCAGAAGATGTAAGTAATGCTCTGTACAAAGCCCTCACCGAGTACCCGTGGAGATCAGGGGCATTTGTTATTACAACAATCAGCGCGTGCCATACATCCTCTTTCACATAATTTCCAGCCTGTTATGAACAGGATCAAGATTAGTAGAAACCTCAAGTTAAGATCTACTTATTTTCATATGAAGTAAAACAGCTTTTTGTTAATTAAAGAAGTCTGCATGTCTGTTGGTGCTTATAAGCGTATGGAAAAATGTAATCTCACCGCCTGGGCTAAAATTATACCTCAGATAAAACCTTAAGCATTTGATCAATGTACCAGATTTTCTCTGGAGAAAACCTAATCAAGCAAGGAAATACCAAAAGTTAGTACACAAATAACCAATCAGGTCTGACGGACACCAGTCCTCCAGGCCAGCATTCTGATAAAATTATGGATTACGTTTGATTGAGCATAAATCACATCTTTGTTCCAAATTAAAATGCACAGTTACCATCTTATACAAGAATTTGAAAAGCTGTGCAACTTACTTTTCAACAATGGAGCATATCTTGGCAGTAAGATCTTCCTTAAAATCTTGTTCACTTACTTCCAAATATTCTATTAGCTCCTTTGCTAGTGGCTTCACGTTATTTTCATTCACCAGAAGGTAAATAAGTTCAAGGGCCCTTTTCTGAATTGAAGCATCTGAATCCTAAATCAGAAGATATTAAAGAACACTTTCCATTTAGTAAAGAGTAATCTCAGACCACCTAAGCAGAATTGGATGTATAAATGTTGGAAAAACAAAAGACAGATACAGTCACTATACTGCAACACCAAGCTGGGAAGTATATTGTAGCTCTGAGGAATAAATTACATTCTATAACCAGTAAAAGCAGTGGAAACAAAATACTCTGGTAATTTAATAAGATAAACCCAGCAAGGAAACTGTATCACCACATTAAGTACCTTAACACACTCCAGTATTGTAGCTCTGTGTCTCTGAACCGCTTGTGAATCAACTGTTAAGGCTCTCATCAGCATGTTTAATGCTACATATCTGAGAAAGCAAAGCTAATGTTTATATTTTTTTGGAAGGTAGTCAGGAGAGGTGAGAAATGCATCAGAAAGAATTAACAACTTCTATTGGCATTGTATGAATGAAATAACAACTTCTGTAGGCATTATACGAACGAAATAACAACTTCTGTAGGCATTATAGTAAATAAAAGTTGGAAGACTGCTGGAGATGAATAATAGGATATCAGCCAAGGTTACAGAAAACTCATATGGCGGTACTCGATAAATACCTGATGTTATTATCTCGGTTGGACAAGAATTTCCCCAAGATATTGATCGCAAGAACACGTAAGCCACCATTTTCTTCGATGCTCATTATCGTTTGAACGCATTCATATAGAATAGCATTGCCTGCGTTTTTGTTTGACTCGGTTTTTGATGCCACCTAAGACATTAAAAATCAAGTTGGAAGTCAAGAATAATTACATGGGATTATGAATTTATGATCCTGACTGATATTGATCAAAATCTTTTTCAAAGCAAATGTAACAAAGGATATGTATAGCAAACCCCATAAAGGCGTGAAAAAAGGCTTCATTTGTTACCATTACTTTAGATATAGATTTGTGGAAAATCAGAAAGAACTTGCAGTATGAAAAGAACAACAATTTTTTTTAAAAAGCGGAAATAGAGGACCATAAATGTAGCAGTCATTCAGGCCAACATAAGCCTTGACGAAAAGACTACGAACGAACAAACCTGAGCAAGTATATCATTCATACAGTCACTGGCATCTGCATCACCTTGGCCCAAAATACGCAACAGTTTGAGCAATCTGATGTGAAGAAATGGATCGGTAATTCCAGCAACGTCATACTCGGGTGAATATGGACTGTTTGCAATATCCCTCAGGGTTTTAACCAATCCCACTGTGCATTTCTGTCAATCAGAAAAGGAAACCGCTAATATTCAGCATGACAAGAAGAACAAAGATTGAAAACACTCAAATTAGTTCAGCATACAAGCAAAGTTTATGCAAGGGTCCCAAGAGGTTCACAATTCTAAAGAGTTACAATTTAGAATGCAGGGATGATCTAAATTCGAGATACAAGGATCATGCAACCATGAGAAAGTAAGAGGCTAAGAGTTACAAAGAGAAATCTAATTAACAGACGTAGAGCTACTTTAGGATTCCCCAAGAAAGAAGAACGGTGCATACTACAACATATTAGGAATCCAAACACTCTTTGAACCAAATTGATAGGATAATATATTAACAGATTACCTTCCGGAAATATTCAAGGGCTTCGGAACTGACTTTACAGATTTCGGTACAAAGGTGAACTCCCGTGATGAGAACACCATGATGCTTTTCTTTGAGTAAAGCAGCGGCAGGATTAGTAAAGTTCTCAGAAAGATCCGGAACTTTTCTGATGATCCGTATGGCACAAAGAGCTGCCTAAATAAAGAAGAAAAAAAAGTTAACGATTGAAAAATTCACGAAAATGTATACAAAAAATTACAAAAGTAACTTGAAGATTTGAGAAACTAAGTACACAGCTCTTGAAGTACAGCCTTCATTTGGTTAGAACATTCACATTAGCCTGGCTTCTCAAAAAATTTCCAACATTTCCACCTCTAAACCCCACTTAAAAAGACACTAGCTATCTGAACAGGTACATTGACAGGACGAGGAAACACTCACTTTCTTGCGTATATTTGGATCACGAAATTGAAGTAATCTTTCAACTTCAGGTGCGAGATCACGAGCCATTTCTGCAGAACATATATTTCCTAAAGCACAAAGAGCAAGCCCCACAATGTATTGGTTTGTATGATTCAGGTCTCTAAACACGAGTCAAGGTTCTCACAAGGGGAAAACTATAAAGTTAGTACGAATCTGCCAAAAATCTAAAAGCTACTGGGGAATCAAATTACACCATAAAGGATACTGCTTCAGCGAGTTGGTGACCAGCATTAGCACTTCTTGCCTTTCGTCAAGAAGCAACATTAAACCTAGATAACCAATCCTCTTCTCTGGAAATCCAGGAGAAGCAATTAGTTTCAGGCACTCCATCTGCCCAAAATGAGTGGGGTATCCAAGCATGTGAATGAACATGAGCTTCGCTAGATCCCTGTGTCTATAATCTTGGTCATTTTCATTAATCGAAGCACGGATCGCAGCGCACTCTTTCCTTACAACAGCACGTTCCTCAGCAGCGGTTTTGCTTGCACGTATAGCCCGAATCATGTCGCTGCCGAAAAAATTGTCAATAAATGTATAGCTTGAGTAGAATATATACTACTGTTATGTTATTACAAAGGCTGAGAATTGTAACATGTCAACAGATATAGAATACAAAAGGACATACAATCATATACAATCGTTTACGTTCCATGAAGATGATATCATTCAACACCGATGTCCACATACCATGTCTAAACTAAATTTCCACGGTTTTACTTGAAAATGAAGCGTACACTTATAATCAAACACTCTGAGAAGTTTAACATATGCAAAATAATAAGGATTCTCCAAACATGCCTAATCTCAATTAGGGGAAAAATGCTACATATTCCGATCAACTTCAACTTTCTTGTTATATGGCGGAAAATCCCGAGGAAATGAAATTTCCCAGAAATTTCCCAGTAAAACTAGAAGAATCAAGCTACATTACGTATTAGAAACTAAGGAACGCATGTTGCGCAACAATGGAAGTATCGCATAGTCTCAATAACTGGAAATATAAGGCAAATGGAGATCGGAGCAACTGATTCCTAACCTGAGACGCGTGCCGGAGAAGAAGGAATTCATGGTTGTATCCACGCCCGAGGGGGTCCGAAGCTGAAAATCAGATCCAAGACGAAACGAGATTGAAGATTGGCGCGAGAAATGGATCAACGAATTTGAAAAATCATAGATCGAAGGAGCTCGATTTCCAGAGAGAAGACGGAGAACGAGGTATTATTCGGATCTGAGAACTTTCTTTTCTATCACTATCGATGAAAAGATGGAAAAAGAGTGTGTGTGTTCTTCTTTTCGTTCCGTAAGGGAAAACGGAAAATCATTAACGGAGTCGCGGATCCGAACGGAATTAGCAAAACTGTGCCGTAAAGGGATAGCCGCTGATTGATTCAGAAGGTTTGTTAGACAACAGTCTCAGCTATAGCATTTGGCAAACCAATCGGTTTACGTATATTTCGGTTCAATCTCAATTCATTTGCAAAAAATAGAAAGCATTACATGATCGCACGCTTACACTAACATAAAACGCTGGCTATATGTTTACCAATACCGCAACATATTGTAACAAAAACGGTGAAGAGCTTCTTCTTATCGTACCGGTTTAGCACTAGATTGGTTTTTGGTGGATCTCTGATTGAATTATGCAACTCACAAGATTTCATAATGTTATGGAATGATTCACAGTTCCATTTGATTAAATCAGTCGATATCCATCTCTCCCAATATCTGCTTAAGCTCCTTTCCTCTCTTCTTTGTTAACTCTATACAGCTCTGCGAAAACCAAAAACCACTACATAAGAAAGAAAAATACCAGTGTAATCAAGCCGCGGGTTAATATACAAGAGAATGGTGAAAACACTCACCTTGATGGCTGATGAATTGGCGATACTTCCTCCTGGTTTAGAGAAAGAAACAATCTGATCTGAGGAATCTAAAACAACGGTCAAGAGAGTGTCCATGATCGATTCTTCTTCGGCTGTTGGATCTGCTAATACGTAGTTCTTGTGGAGTAAGCAAGTTAAAGAGAAAGGGATGTTCGTAAGCGTGAGTTTTCTCTTCTCCTTGTTCACTGCTTCCTTCTTGGTGATCGATGCATTGTCTTGTCCTTCTTCACCAGTGATGGTAACTATTCTTCCATTGTCGTTCAGAGCAACAACTGGAATTTGCACTGCAAAATCAAAAATCTCTTATGCATCAGAGGAAGAATTAGTCCGACTCTAACAATGGTATGACTCAGTGATTCAGGTTGCTTTTCTACAGATAGGTAATGTCATATGGGTTACTAACAAAGGGCTTTCTATGCCTGCTCGCTCTTCTCTGCAGATTCGAAAAGGAGACTGATAACCTTAAAAGTTCAAACTTTCGGTCGGATCTTAGGAAACAGCTCAACTCAAAGGCGTTTTAGAAGAGCTATGCAACCAAATAAAGGATGAGATCAAAGGAAGAACTTACGATTCGAAAAGGCTGCAACAGCAGAAAGCAGAGCAGCATCGAAAAGAGCACCATCAGCATCAAGGCAATAAATGTCCTATAAGAAATTCAGAGGGCAAGCAGCAACATTTATAATCTATAGTAAAGAACTCACAAGACGAGTGTTGATGAAAATCAATTAACCAGGAAGCACGATATAAGAGCGAGCGACGTGTACTCACCAGATAACCCATCCAAGCAGCTTTTCCACTAACTAGGCACAGTTCTTTAAGATCAATCATACCACAACTGCAATAAAGGGTTACATTTTTCAGAAAGAAAATTCTCTCAAAACACAATAATAACTGCACAGAGATGTATCTGAACGAGGAAGCATATATATAGAAAGCTTCAAATACCCTAAAATAGAATCCAACAAGTTCTTTGAAATAACAGGAGCAGCGTCTGCTGGTCTTCCAGGACGAACAGTTGGAGAGCATATAGGAGGCATGTGGAACTCGATAGCTAACAAACCAGAAAACAGAATCTATATCAGTCACAAATGAAAACACTAAAGAAGAAGAACGAAAAGGTCAAGGCAACAAAAAAGAACCTATGCATCCTTCGTCTGGAGCGTCTGTAGAAGGAGTCATAACTTCCATTCTTATAGCTGCGAGCATAGTCTATCAAAAAAGAAACAGAAACTCTATGTAAGAAAAACAAACATGGGGGAACACAGTAACATTGCACTGCTAATATGAAAATACAGAAATGATAGGGCTTTACAGTGGAACCAATCTTGGCAAGAGCAGATCCATCAGCGGATGAAACAAGTCCTATATACACAAAGAGAATACAAACCAAGTGGAAATGTTTCATTGATTGAGTTTGATGAAAGTAAAGAATCAGCTAAATGATATATTTACCGAGGTTTACAATGGTGTCCCTGGCTTTCCCAAGCGGTCTACCATCAGGCCGGAGAGATTCAGAGAGATGACGCTCGAAGAAACGAAGAGGGAAGATCTTTCTGAATGCATCAACTTCCATCTCTGACGATAAGTCTTGAGTTGAATCCGGTAACCCCATGTCTTGCTTCAGCTTCTGTCAACCAAATAAGAGAGAGAATAATCGAATCATCAATTTGCTAACTCAAATGTACAGAAGAAACGGGGAAGCAAGGAGTCATCAACATCTCATACGAACATCAGTCATCGACCAAACTTCAAGCTTCGAAACAAAAAAAAGGGTTTATTGTTCGCCATTGATGCTAAAATTTTCCCCAATATGTTAACGGAATGCAACGAGACTGATGATGTACTTTAGCCAAGCAACTTTACCTGGAAATTGATGAACAAAACTGTCGCGGCAAGAGAAGAAGTCCGCGCGGCGGTAAGTAGTGGGATTCGACGGTGAAGAAGAGGGAGACGGAGACGGAGACGGTGACGGTGACGACGGCGAGAAACTGCTAGGTTTCTTTGATTTTTAGTTAAAGTACTTCTTATTTATAAATGGACCCGAAAGAAAGCCCAGTAATGTCTGAAGAAAGAAAACCCAAATTTTAAAATAAAATAAAAAGTCTCCCTCTCCTCTCCAATATTTCTCCTCTATGATCTTCCTCTTCCTTCTCTAGGAAAACCCTAATTTCAGTGGTCGCTCAAATTGTAGAAGCGATGGACATGAGCTTGCTTAATTGATTTTGCAATATAGTGTTGTGGTCATAATTATACAAGTTAACTTAGATGAATTCTACTAGTAGGGAATGGATCATTGTGTATGTAAGGTTACAGTCATCTTGTACAAGATAATAACAATAATATTTAAATTAATTGAAACTAAATATTTAAGTACTTTTTTACTGTATTCTTTCTAAGCAGAAATTCATTAATTCTTTTTATGGATAACAACAATATATTACATTTAAAAACACTTATTGAGTTTTTAATTACATCTGAAGACATTTATGAAGGAGAGAAGACTTTGTCACACAAAAAGACGCTATCACCCTCAGATTTCACATGTTGTTTCACGATGAGTCTTACAATTTACACAACCTCACAATTTACAAATAGACTCTTAGTAAAAACTCTAATCCCATAACGACCCCTAATCTCTCGTTTCTGAAACCATTCGTCTTCTTTGCAATCAGCTCCGGTTTTTCTTATCGCTTACTTCTCACTTGATTCCTGGAAAGATTAGTGATTAACAGTTCTCTGTCTCGTCTCCAGAATCAAATCATCAATCTCGATTTTTTCTTATTACATCTTCGTCATAGTCTTCTCTCGGCTTTTCCTCCATATTACCTCCAATGCTCCATCCATGTCGGTTAGTGTTTCTCTGCTCCCTTCCTTCCTTCTCTCCTTTCATGTTTCTTAGAGTGATTTCAGGATCAAATTATTATGTTGATTGGGTTTGGGTATTTCTACGTTGGATTGTGAATTCGGTCATTTTTGAAAAATAATCATAATGCTTTCAAGTTTTCCGTGTTAATCCTAATTCTGAATTTTGGTCAATTTTTTGTGTTTGGTTGAAACTACACTTATATAACATAATATCAAGACATAATATAATTGCTAGGAATATTGATTGTTTAAAGTTAAAGGGATCAGACAAAAACCATTGCTATATTTGGTATTACCATCTAGAAGACTAAGAAAATTCAATTTGCAGAGAAGGAAGCGTCTCATACTTCTGCAACTCACAATCAAACTTTATAACATCTAAAAAGGTGAAAAGTTTTTTATCCGTTTTATAAACAGTATTAGTACCGATTTTATGTCTTTACACACAACAAGGTAAGAAAGGATCCAATTAGTTAACTTGGCTTGTTTGTAATGTTCGTTTCATACAAAATTTCACATTCTCTCTTACTTTGAATCGTTTACTCTATGGACAGGGCCATATGCGTTCATTCTTAATCTTCGTCCACACAAACACGTCTATAGAAAGATACACACAAATGCGTCCACGCAAATATGTCCATGCAAAGACGCACACGAATGCGTCCACACAAACCTGTCCATGACCATGCAAGATTAGTCTTTGTATCAAGTTTGAAAACTTTGTCTTCTGCGATTTTTTTGATATTCTCTTCTCGTTTTGGTACAAATAATAACATTAGTCAGAGATCATGTAAGAATGAGTAAACATTAGATGAATTTTTGTATATTTGAAAACAATTTTGTGAATAATGCAAACATGTTCTAAACTGCACAAATGCTTCCACACAGATGTGTTCACAAAAATATATTTATACACATGTGTCCATGACTGTGTAAGATTAATAAATTATTGAATCAGATTTGGAAATATGTTTTCATCCTCACAAATGTTCTTGTGAATAATGCAAACATGTTCTGATCCAATTATCCACACAAATGTGTCCGCAAAAATGTTTTTATACGAATGTGTCCATGACTATGTAAGGTTAGTAAATCATTGGATCATCCCAACATCATCAAGACAACTTCATCCACACGAGTCTATCCATCCTAACCACATTAATACAACTTCATCCACGCAAGTCTATCCATGATACACAATTCATAGTGTGCATAATATTACATCATCTCAAACATCATCCATCCCAATTCATCCATATATATTATACATGAGGTGATATCATAACCGATTAAGTTTACTCTTTGTGTTTTTCTTCTTCAATTTTAGTTGAGCTTAGAATTCTGATCTCACTATCAATCCATATAGAAGTCATCTTACAATCCTAGTTAAAACAGCAAACGAGAAGATAAGTCTGCAAACACACTCAAATCCCAACTTTGTCTAATAGTATTAACCTCTCTCTCAAATGAAGCAGGCGGTGCAGGAAAATCATGGACTTATCTCACCATCTCTGAAGCGTTGTGATGCAATGGTTCGTCTTTGATTGCCGTAATCGCCAAGATAACAAAAACAATTTCCAATTGAAAAATAAGAAGCAGACACCATCGTTCCTCCATCCGTGCCATCAATTGCTTCCATCTCGGAGCTCAATGATTGCTAAATACACCTCTACCACACAACTCCTCCAATTGGCAAATTCGTAAACTCAATGATTCAATTATGTATGTGGAATCGATAATAGTAGTGTGCACTGCGATTCTTGAACTCAATGATTTAATTATGTATGTGGAATCGATAATGATAGTGTGCACTGCGATTCTTGACGGCTCACCATTACCCTAGAAGATTTATCGATTTACTTTTCAGCTTGGTTACAATTAAATATCGGTGAATATTTTCCAGACTTTTTAAAGGACAAACTTGGTATTTTAAGTGTCAAAAATAAGGAGAATATGAGTCAAAGTCCCTTAGTAGCAAAAAGTATCTCTAAGTGTAAATGAAAATCTTTAAATGACTAAATGTAAATCACTCATTGCATATTTCATACAAGTAAATATAAAAATGAAAAACAATGATACAAAATCGGTGATCTAGTTGTAGACTAGTACCCTACCACAGTACAAATATTGATATTCCTAACAGCAAGAGAAACCAATGAAGTTTGAAACGTGCTTTTAGCATTGCTTCATAGATATCAAACCAAGTTAAAAACGAGTCAAATTGAAAATCGGTTTGAGTATTATATAAAATATAAACCTTTCTTATTTTTATTTTTTTTGGTATCACACAAAAGAGAGAAAACAACATAAGAGAATATTGATTTTTGTGTACTAGTTAGTACTAAGAAATCAGATTCGTGTAGAGACTTGAGAACACATTTTCACCTGGAAACTTGACTAAGCAGGGATCTGATAGGATTCACCAAGTGTACTTTCGTAAGAGGAAGAAGAGTGTAGATGAAACTGAGAAAAGTCAAATGGAAATTAGAGAATAGTCAATGCTAAGATGGCAGCTCAGTTGATTGGGCCAGAAAGTAAAGTTATTTCGTGAGCTGAAGAAGTTGAAACGAGATGGAAGTATAAATAGATTCAGTAAATGTTGAGAGTCTTTTATCCAGAAAACAGATTCGCACATGTGCAATTCTTTGATCGTATGTCAGTATGTGACATAAAATATGTAGGGATAAAGAGGTAGAAAGCTAAGTGTTAGGATTTAATTAGGAGAATAGCAAGAGGCAAATAAGCTAGAAGGAACTGGCGGTCCATGGGGCAAGCAGGAGAAACCAAGGATTAGGGCATCAAAAATTTTAGGGGCATCATTTTTAAAAATTTTCAATATTAGGATTATTTATTAATATATATATATATATAATTTTAAATTAAAGTTTATTATGAATTATTTGTAATCTACAATATCAAAAAAAGATTGAATGGACTGATTTTATTATCGATTTAAACAGTTATGGTTGAAAAACTATATTATGTGCATTTAATGAATAATTTTGCAAGCAAAAATGTAAAGAAGACTATTTTTCAATGATATATATATATATATATAAACTATTTATAAATTTATTATGCTTGTTTGAAATTGGATTTTTTCTTTTATAAATTTTTTAACTATAGTTTTTTTTATGTTAAATACAATATAGAAAAAAAATATTTTAGATTTGAATAGGGCATCAAAAATCGTCGGACCGGTGACGAACAATGATTTGTGGAATTAATTATTTACGTTCGATGCCATTGTGTGCGCGTGGTTGAGGGGAAGAATGAAGTAGGTGTTGAAGGGTATTAATGAGATTGGGTAATAGCGCATATGTGGTCATTTATAGAGTGAATTTAGGCTGACCTTGAACTTCGTATTAAATGAGAAGACAAAAAATATTCGCTGCCGCCTTACGTAAGCATGATCTACACGGAGGTGATGGCGAGTTAATGCAATTTGTAATGCTGCAACAAGATCGTCGACGAGCGGGGCGGAAAATGAAAATATCTTGGCACACCTAGGTTTATGGAGTCTCCATAAATACTCGTTCATGCTTCTAATTTCATATAGAGCTACATGCTTACGGTTATAAATACTCGTTCATGCTTCTAATTTTATTTGTCTGAGTATATACCTATGTGCATCCAGCCTTTTGACATGGATAATTATCGCAGGGTTGGATCGCACGGAAAATGTAATATTAGATGTGGCATACGAGGGGGACGAGCTGTATTTGGGACAGGTTTTCAAGAACAAACGGAACTGCAATGTCAAAATAACTGTCCACGCTATAAATAGAAAGTTCAGTTACCGTAATAAAAGGTCAAACAACGATTATGTGGTTGTACGGTGCCTCTCCGAGACATGTCCATGGAGAGTGTACGTTGTTCGGATTGAAGATACACGGTATTTCCAAATCAGAACTGCCACGCTGCATCACAACTGCCCCGTCGATGTCGTAGACAGCTTCACCGCCAGGCCACTACCTCCATTATTTCCGAAATGATGAGGGACCGTTACGTGGGTGAGCAGCGAGGTCCAAACCCGGCTGGGGTTCTACGGGTGATGCTTAAGCATCATAACGTCGGTATCTCATACTGGAAAGCATGGAAATCCAGGGAGTTGGCTATAGACAAGGCAAACGGCTCCGCGGCTGGTAGCTACGCTCTCCTACCTGCTTACATGCATCTGTTGGAGCTTAGCAACCCGAGATCTATGATGGTTATTGAGACGAAAGAAGACGCCTCCGGTCACAAGCGCTTCAAATACTGCTTTGTGACTCTCAGTGGTAGTGTCTAGGGGTTGAATTCATGTGCAAGGTGCTGGTTGTCGACGGAATACACCTTCGAGGCAAGTACTCGGGATGCTTGTTGATGGCAAGTGCACAGGATGAGAATTTTCAAATCTTCCATGTGGCGTTTGCAGTCGTAGATGGGGAAAATGATAAGGCGTGGGAGTGGTTCTTCCCAAAGTTGAAGCATATCGTGCCGGATGAGGACACATTAACCTTCGTTTCAGATAGGCATTTGTCAATATATGTTGGATTATACAATGTATAAATAAATATAACTGTCTATGATTTATTATGGCTCCTTATACTCGACTAACCATTCATGTCCAATTCCCTGCCCTGGCACCCGCTCTATCAGGAATATTCCAAGTCAACTCACGGTGCCTGCATCATGCATCTACAGAGAAATGTGGCAGCGAAGTTCAAGATCAAGGCCTTAGCTGGTTTGATTTCGAAAGCAGATCGTGCCTACAAAAGATCCACGTTCCACGAGTACTTCACGGAGATTGAGGGCCTGTCGCCGGAATGTGCCGAATACTTGAACATCATCGGCTTCCACCACTGGACACGATCCCATTGTGACGGTGAACGATACAACATAATGACAAGTAACGTAGCAGAGTCTCTCAACGCCGCCCTAAAATAAGCTCGTGAGTTGCCCATCGTATCTATGCTGGAATTCGTACGCGGTACTCTCATGTCTTGGTTCAACAAGAGGAGAGACGTGGCGAGTAACCATACTTCGCCGATGACTCTGAAGGTTGGCGAGATCGTTCACAATAACTACGAATGATCAACGGCTTGGCACATCCTGCAGATCAACAAATACCACTACGAAGTAAAAACGTGTACAGGTTTATCTTATCATGTGGACTTCCATAACAAAACCTACACGTGTGAAGAGTTTAATATTCTTAAGATATCGCGCTTTCATGTTGTTGCGGCGGCTGGTAAAGGAAACGTCCATCTCCCCATAATTGTGGCCGCAGAGTATGGTACGTTCTACTGGTCTATGGCCTATCATGAGAGTATATATCCAGTGCCTGCCATGGGCAGTGTGTATGCGGTCCCTCCCGATGTTGCTGCAGTGAATGTGCACCCACCTAAGACAAAGAGGCCACCAGGTAGGCCAAAGCGTAATAGATACCTCTCGACAGGGGAGTTTAAGGTATCAAAATGTAGTGTTATATACAAAATATAACAACTTACAAATACAGATGGCGGTCTATTGATGTCTCTGAGTTAGCTATCTTGTACCAGCGTCCATGGAAGAAGGTTTTCCGCAAGTGCAGCCGCTGCAACGGGACTGGGCATAACCGCTCGTCCTGCAAGTTGCCAATATAATATGGGATTGTGCAATAAGGTATTTCACTATAGCACCAAACGGTAGGATCGTTCTCAGAATATTGGTTGACATGAAGTAATGGTTGTCATCTGACTTTTCCTTTGCAGATTTGAGCTTTCGATTTTGTCATGTATGATGAAAGCTCAGCGGCTTTGGATTTATGTTGTGTGCTCGGAAAATAAGTGGCTTTTTTCTACCATTGTATTACATCCACCTCTATCGTCACAGATGATGGAATGCATCGACTCATGCTCTGTCTTTCTAGTATATAGTTCCCAAGATTTATGATTTCTTGTGTTTGTAATTTTCCAGAACTCTCCCACTATGTGGGGCATCTATGTACTCCGTGTGTACCTTCCAGTCCACATATAATGTCATATTATTACGTTGAAAGAATTGTGTCCTGAGTGGTGGTTATTGTGAACAGCGGACACTCAAACTTATACCTAATTATAAGCTATCTAAATATATCTTCAAACGCCATCCTTTAGTGATATTATCCACTAAAATAGGGAGCAAGGATATATTTATAACGGCATGCTCATATATCCTCTAACATAACGACCCATATAATCAGATAAATGTAGCAAACCACATAAACTAGTTAAACGTATGTTTACAAGTGGCGCCATTATCTTTAAAAATAGCATTCTATAAAAACAAGAATAAGACGAATAATCGATTGAAACTACCCATTAATCAACTCCTAGTAAGTGCAAACACAAACAATTCTGAGAACAACGCCCAATGTAGAGCAGTCATGAAAATGTATGCAAAAAATAACAAAATGTACACCTACGTCATACACCACCAAATTGTTATTACAGCCAAAAAAGGAGTTTCAAGATTCCCCATTGCCCTACGGGATTGCAACCTCCCCAACACAGTGTTCGACTATCTCCACAGCTAAATTCTTTGCGCGTTGTTCGATCATTCCTTCCTGAACAGCATAGGCCTTGGAAAGCCACCCGACGCATGCGCCTCCATGATTATGAGAGTCAACATCCCTATTGTCTTTCTCTCAGTTGATTGAACAACCGCCGAGTCTCTCCTGATCTGCAGGGGTGCGAGACCATAATCTATTATACCCTCCCCAGCAGCGGCTTTGCGAACGAGGTACGGGAACATCTGGCATATGAATTAGAGCTCGAGGACTATTCGCGCCCCACGCCGCTCAGAGGCCGATGAATCAAAAACTGTCATCTGGGCGGGCAGTATGTCAATGATGACCCTAACCCATTTGTTCTTGTCCACTATAAAGGGGAAATACACGAAGTCAATGTCTTTCACCCAAGCTTTAGGGCGTGCGCATACCATATCCATGATAGTCTCCGCAAATTCAAACTCCTCTTTCCGGCTTGATTTGTTGAATTTGGGATAGAGCTTCGCCATGGACACGGCCCAGCTACTGGGGAGAATGTCGGTGCGGTTATCTTCCGATGGTGTGGAACAAGCTAGCTATGATTTCTGCAACATCTTCACGCAAGCATCCATGACCTACGGGAAAAAGGTAAAGCACTGAGATGGTGAGGTTGTGGGCGTTTGTACTACGTGAAAGGGTTAGTACCCTACCTCAGGGCGGGACAGTGGTATCGACCGCGGTAAATCGAGAACATCTTGTTCCTTAATGAGCAATTCTCCGCCCATGTTTAGTACCCTACAAAACAAAATTTCAGCATCAAATGGTTATGTGGGCTGCTATAAACGACTATAAGTCTGAAATCTAGGGATCAGTGTATTCGTTTATGTGTGCAGGTGGATATCCATGTAATCGTGTGGATATTTACATATGACCATACTTGTCAAGGGATGTGTTGGTGGTTAATACAGCGAATTTCGGGTTGTCCGCCGCTTCGAGTATGTCTGAGGAGGGTCGCATTGGTTGTGTTACACCTTCTGGATCGGTGTCCAGAGATTCCTCAGTAGTGAGGGCAGGTGCGTGGAGATGTTCCGTAAGTGGTGCGGGTATGGCAGAACCATCGACAATTTCCTGCATCTTTGGATCTTCACTGTCCTGGTGGTCGTTGGTCTGCAGATTAGACCCACCTACGTCGTTGGTCGTCCTGTATGTCTCCGGCTGTGTATTGATGTCTCTGATGACGTCCCCAATAACTTGGTCCACTTCACTCCTTTGGCCTGTCGCGGCAATCATCGTAGACATCTTTTCCTTCAATCTCCTCTGCCAGCACCGATGTAGCCACTGAGTCAACCATCTTCGATTGGGCCCTCTTCATGGCGGTGTCTATAAGCTCTGCAATCTTCTCCGCCGTGATGGGCTGTGGTTCTCCTTGGTCGGATGCCTTTGCCGAGTTGCGGCCGTCTTTTGATTTCTTAGCGCGTACAGGGGGAGCGGTCGGGTTGTCTTTCACCACAAACGGCCCCTTTTCTTTTTTGGCTTTTGACAGCAGAGGATTGTGTGGGTGGAGGAGGGGCTACATATCCGCCAATGAAAGAGTCCCTGTAAAACTCTGCTCCTTCTGCAATTAGCATCTCCATGTAATCAACCTTCGGATCCGGAAGTTTGTCTGGCCACTCTAGGGTGTCTAGGGGGATTTCTTCCTTCGATTATTGAAGTCACGGCAACCTGCAATATGCGAGCAGCATAAAATATTATGGTGCCACACCTTCGAAGTTAGCAGTCGATTTGAGGAGTATGGAAACATGTACAACTACCTCGTATTATAAAGGTTTACAAAAAGTTATAAAGGATATAACTGTCCCGATGAATCGAGATTCCACAGCTTATCTAGTTTGAGGGTGCTGGCCATAACACACTCTTCCTCCTCTGACTCACTCCCATTTTCTTCCCCCATCGTCATCAGCGCTGCGGGAACCGCCTCCAGGAGTACCATCTGGACCGTATGTATAAAACCCTGAACAGCTACAGTGGGCTGTGCTAGCTGATTGGTAGAGCGGGATTTGATGCACTGAACAGTCATTTCGAGGCAGTGCTGCCTCCAAGGGAAGCTGAGGAAATAACATAGGTCTCGAATCATCTCCGCATGATCTTTTGGGATCTTCATGCCTGAGGATTTACGGCAAAGCAGCCCATCAACGATGAGGAGATATGCGTATTTCACCTTCAGCTCGCTCGAAATATTTTTCGAGTGCCTAAGCATCACCTCCAGCTTCTCGCCGGTGACGTTTTCATCTCCCCCAAATAGTGTGAATCAGTATGGGACTTCTCCGGGTTTACACTTCAGGATTTCCCGAGGAGGAGGGGAAATGGGTTTGCAGTTTAAGTCTGTCACAATCGCAAACTCGCGAAGAGAGAATTTGACTGGCTTACCGCCAAAAATGAACCACAGCTCGTGCCTTTTCTCCGTCTTCAACTGCCAGGTTAGCAGAAAGTGAGCGAGTTTGCTAGAGTGAGCAGGTTTGTGATACATGTCGATCATTTTCCCAAAACAAGGCCGAATGACGCTTAGTTCATTTGGTGTGAAGGCTTTTAAGATAACATCGATTGTGTCGAGCTTGAAGTACGAATTCACTCGGTCACCGACTGGCTCCTGGTGATCAGCGAATAGACGGTTTGGGAGAACATTAGTTTTCATCCCTGCCAATAAAAATAAAAACAAGGATTCAGTCGATCGGGGTTACGCGCAAATGTACGCGGTCTATGACAATATATGGATGCCTATTTCCCTGAGTGGATAGGCATAAAAAAGTAAATCTGGGCTTGATTGACGATGTTTGTGGTGGTCTATGTACGAATGATGGATGTCTGTTAAAGAATAAGGATTACGATAGTGTAATATGTGTTCTACTCCTAAACCCGTAAATGCAAATTGATCTATGAACCCTTAAACCTATCTAGACTATTGCATGTTGTGTTAGTTGTCTCTTTAGAGAAAATAAAAGCAAAAATCGGAAGAGTAATCCCATAAAGAAAAAAATATACAACCAATTAACCAGTGAAGACCAAAAACAACAAAAACGGAGCGAGACGATATTCGCGGCCATGATTTCTAGGTAAACTGAAATGGGATTAGGCTTAGAGGCCAAGTTCGGATTACCTGAAGAATCAGTTGCCGGCGTCCGTGACTCGGAATTTCATCGGCAGAGATGTTTGACTAGTCGGCTTCAGTTCGAATCGGAGACTGCTGAAAATCGGATTATTGGCCTTCGACAGTCGAGGAAGACGAACAGACTATGGGGTTTGGCCAACGAAAGAGGCAGGGGATGAGCAAATTGCATGGGCGGAGGTATTTTGGTGGTTGGATTTGGTTCGGATCGGGGGATGCTGTTACACGTTTTCTTGGCCTTCGACAGTCGAGGAAGAGAAACTGTCTTTAGGATTCGGGCAACAATGGGACGCGGGATATTAAATATGCAGTTTTATACGCCACACTTGGACATAGTTTTAGCTTTCTAATTTTAACTAACCAACAAATTTTTTTATTCGTTCGTAGGATCCCAGTCACGACTTTGGAAGGGTGTGAAAATAGATAGCGCATGGGGGTATAGTGGACAGAAAGAGTGGTGAAATATTTTAATGCTTGGACTCAAAAATACTATAGTCGATTTTCAATATTTACTACCAGTCTTTTGCCATTTAGTGGTATTTTCCAAATATGTATGGTTAAGGATGGAGAGGTAAAAGAGTGTGTAAAACTATTTGGGTCTAGGTCAAGTTATTTGAGTTTTGAGGATATTTAAATAATTTAGAAAAATTTTCTCATATGCATCTAATATAAATTTTTATTCTTAATATACACTAGCACGCTAAATAATTTTACACCATAATCTTTTTTGACATAAACTGACTATACTACCCTCATTTAAATAACACGTTGATTTAATTAAGAAACTAAAAACTTATTTTAAAATTTTTATTTTCAGACTAAAACTTCCAACGCCGTCATCCTCATCCACCATTACTAAAATCGCTCACCAAGTCTTCGATTTGTATCATCTCCAATCAAATGTCCATTCATCATCAGATTATCTCATATAATCTCCATTCATCATCGGAAAAGGGAGAGAACCAAAGATCCTTCAGGATCTCACTAATGGTGATCTTTTTTTTTAGATTGATATTAAAGAGATGAATCGTTTCAGATCTGATTTCAGATTTCAGATTTCAGGAAGCCCTTCCATAATTGAAGATTTTTTAAAAAATTTAGGAAAGCTTTCATAAATGATATGAAACGATATTGGATTTTAGTGTTTGGAAAATCTTCCTAAAAGATTACAAAATTTTAACAGAAAAAAAACATTCAGAAAGACTTTTCTAAAGAACAAAATCGGAAAGATCAAATGAAAAATGTTAGAAGGTGAAATTGTTTTAGGTTTTCTGTTATTTTTGTCCTGAAAACTTGTTTTCATGGTAAATATGAGAATTTTCCTTAAATATATTTGGGCCTAAGTTATGGCAATTAGGGTTTTAATTATTCGGTTATGTGGTTACATATTAACATTTTTGGATCTAATTAGGTAAAAAAGAACCGAAACCGAAATTATTGAAGAACCGATTTTTTTGTCTGTTAAACAGTTTTTAAAATTAAACACTGAACCGATTTGGAACTGATAGAAACTGAACCGAATCCAACTCAAAATCATTTTGGTACTTATATGGATATAAACTTTTATTACCCGAAAAAACCAGAATCAATAGGATTCTACCTAGAACCAATCCGAATATCCAAATACTCAGACCTAACTGATGCAATTGCATCCTTTATACAGTAGAACCTCTATAAATTAATACTCGATAAATTAATAACCACTATAAATTTATAATTTTTGCCGGTCCCAAGCCGGGCCAGTGTAAAAATTAGCAAATTTCGATAAGATAATAAGATAATTTTTTTTTGAAACTCCTATGTAAAAATATAGTCCCAATAATTATATAAATTAATAATTATACGTTCAAGCACATATAAATAATATAATATAGTAAAATATAATTATATTATTGTCAAGTTTATAAAAATTGTTTGACTTATTTGTTAAATTCACTGATATGATATTTTCTGAATAAATTTTACATTGTTGAAAATATTTTTTGTTTTTTTTTTACAAATATTTTTGGATTTGAACCGAAATATCTCTCTATAAATTAATAAAATATTAATTTCTCGATAAATTAATAATTATTAATTTATCGATTAATTAATAACTCTATAAATTAATAAATTTTTGCTGTCCCAACATTATTAATTTATATAGGTTTTACTGTATAAATAAATATATTATGAAAGACATTGATACAAGCAACACCAGTGAGTGGTAGAATAATACCATGCCACGTTACAGACCCGATAGTTGGGTCTTTAGCATTGCTCTGATTCCTTTGATGAGTTGTGGTTTTGTGACTGAGCTCTCTCTTTGTTATTTACTTTGGCACGTTTTTAAGCAACAAGTATTTGATATTGTCCTGTTTAGGTATCTCTTTACTACTGAAGCTTTGCTTTTTTTTTTTTAAATCACACTGCAAATTTATATTAGCAAAAAACATAGCTTAACATGTACTTTTTAGTATCGTATTTGCACAAACAGATTCTAAAGCAGAACAAAAAATCAAGCCGAGTCGGATGAAGTACTAATAAGACTAGTGGAATTTTCGAGACCCTAGAGACGGAATCAACTTACCTATCAAAAATCTGATTTCTGTTAAAGTGAGGAGAATTGTGTGTTTGTATTGAATTGTGAGAAGAGTATTTATATTAAAACGAGGTTAGGTTATACTCATAACATATCGAAGAATATGGAAATCATAATATTGTATGTAAATATATGGAAAGATCCAGATATATCTGAATACTCTTCCTTAAGGTGGGGCGTGGAGGTCACAAACGCCCATCTAGCTGAGTAGATACTTGAACTGATCTCGCCCGAGTGCTTTGGTAAGAATATCCGCCAGTTGCTCGGTTGTGCGAATGTGAAAAGTGGCAATGTTTCCGGCAGTGGTTTCATTACGTATGAAATGGCAATTATTTTTAATATCCTTCGTATGTTCGTGGAACACTGGATTTGCTGCTATGTGTAGGGCAGATTTACTATCACACACTAGTTGCATCAGAGTGGGATAATCAATACTGAGAGATGATAGAATTTCTTTAATCTATAGAAGTTCTTGAACGGCAAATGCCATGGAGCCATATTCAGCTTCAGCGGAGGAGTGAGATACACGATATGGTCATTTTTTTTTTTGGACAAACTTATTGTCATGTTTAGGTATCTCTTTACTACTGAGACTATGGACTATTTAAAAACCCCGATATTAGGAGATCTCAGAGATTACAAGATCGGCTTGAACATATATTGTTGTTAGACAAGTAATGATTTAGTATAAATAAGCTTATTTGGTAATGAATAAAGATGATAGAAACTTTTTTTATTTCTAAAAGTTTTCTCCAACATCTGAAACTTCTTGATTAATATATACTAGATTTTGGATCCGCGCACTTGTGCGGGTTTCTTTTTATAAAATATTTTTGGTCATAACAAAAATCGGTTTATAGTAAACTTTTGTTCAAAAACAAATAGCTTATATTATTAAATCTAAAATTATGGTCCAAACGGAATTTTTTATTTAATTATATAAACTATTTTAACATTATGGTTTTGTGTTTTTAAAATTATTTAGGCTTGATTTTATAAAAAAATATATTTTATTAGCGGATTTTTTTTAAGTTTTCTAATAAATATTTTAAAATATTATGTTTTATAATGCAAAAGAGATTTTATTTGTTTGTAATTAAGATTCTTAGCCTTTGTTTGTTTTTGCCTCCAGATACTTATTTGGATACAAATGCTCTTAAATTTTATTCTTTTAAATATTTTTAAATAAATATATGGATATTTTATCTGAATATAAATTTTATAATATCTCAAAATTTAGATATTTAAAATGCTAAAAAATAGAGATTTGATGCAGCATTTGAATCTCAAAAATTAACAGATAAAAACATATTTAATTTAAACCACAAAATCAAATTTTTTTTTGTTAAAAACATTTTTTCTATCGAAATAAAAGCCGCATTTTCCTGCAAAATCGTAAAATCACGTTGTTGTACCAAAACCGAAAATTTCAGCAAAAACTGTAAAAATATCATTTTCTATCAAACCGTATTTTCCTGCCAAAACTGTAAATCCACATTTTTTAACAAAACCAAAATTATGTTTTCCTCCAGCACCATAAAATCTTATTCTATGGCTAAATTTCTAAAATTAAGTAGTTTTTGTCAAACCTGCAAAATTGCATTTTATTGTCAAGCTCGCAAACCTGCATTTTCAATAAAATCCATAAAATCATATTTTTCCATCAAAACCTATAAAACCCGTAAAAACATGTAAACCTCGTAAAATCTGCAAAATCACGTTTTCCCCCAAATCCACAAAAACCAGTGTTTTTCTGTAATATTGTAAAATCCATAAAATTGTGTTTTACGACCAAATTTCTAAATTTATGTGTTTCTGACAAACTCACAAACCTGTTAAACCCATTAAATTTACAAAATTGCTTTATTCACATTTCGTAAACCTGTGTTATCCCGTATCCCCGTAAAATCAGCAAAATCGTTATTTACGACCAAATTTTAAAAATTAT